GAGACTGATGAAACAATGGTCTCTTTTGATGTCACATCACTCTTTACATGCATTCCTGTTGATGATGCAGTAGAGGTGGTCAGTTTAAGGTTAAAACCAGACACCACCTTCATCTTGCTCCGGAACTCCTGGAGCAAACGTCAAATCAGCTGAATTTCGCCTGGGCGATGTGGCGAAATTCAGCTGATTTGACCATTAAAGTGCATTTATTAAGGAAACACTAAACTGAGACACACTTTTACTATAATTTTGAGCAAACAAATAATTATTTTTAAGTGTTAATCTTGTTAAATTCTTGGTAAAGTCCTCCCGTGCACGCGGCTGCCAAATCGATTTTTGGCACAACACCGGCCCATGTTTCCGGGTTGTCAGCGGTGATGCATAACAAACGCAATGCGTTAGCGGTGACGCGTAATAGATACGACTTATATGGCGAAGTGACTTATTTGTGTTTTTTCCCACTTCATTAGACATATTTGGACTGATGCGACTTATACGGTGGTGCGACGTTTACAGCGGCAAGCACAGTATTTATAAGACTGAGCTTGTTGCAGCTCCTCGCACTGAAGAAGTCTTTTGGATTAAAGATGAAACGTTTCAACAAGTTTTTTTTTATTTTTTGAGTCCGTCAAGAGGACCTGACATTGTTAGAATAAACCTTATAGTTTTGTACCCTGTTGTAATATACTATATTCTATTTCTTGATCATTTTTATTCAAGCAGACATAAAATATACTAAACTGAATGACCATTATCCATAACTTTATAGTTTCAACTCTTTCTCGTGTTTTTATGATATCCTCACTGTCACCTGTTAACACCTGTATCGTGTTTAGGAGCTGGAGCAGAATCGGCATGAGTTGCGACTGAAGCTGGAGGGCTGCCGGTCCCAGTGGGAGAGCCAGGTGGGAGAGCTGGAGAAGGACGCAAGGGAGCTGAGTGGCCAGGTGGGACGGCTGACCCGGGAGCTCGGGACGGCCGAGAGGGACAAGAGTCGAATCCAGCTGGAGCACACCGAGCAAACTCAGCGCCTCAGGGAGGAGCTCAGCTCTGTGAGTCCCACATGTGTGCAGCTTGATGCTACAGGGCACATGATGTTCTAAACATAAATAAATCCCCTGTACACATCTGGGACGGGTAACTGAACACCTGCTGTCTGTCCCAAGCTGATATGTTGGAGCGTTATTTGATCGGATCATCTGAAACTCAGCCACTTCTGTGTCACGGGGACTGAGTCTGAACTTAAAAAACAAACAAACAAACATAAAAACGGTTTTTAATTTAAAGGAAAGCTAGATAAGGAGTTTGTCATTTTGTAGCTGTGATTCGATGGACACTGGCGGATGATCTGAGCTGGGGTGGAGAAAGGTGGAAAGGATATGTAAACAAGACGAGGAGTGAAAGTTAAAGCTGTGATTTGAGGAGAAGAGAGCTCTGGAAATATCTGCTGGTTTTACTTTGCAACCGACTGAACAAAAGAACGCAAAATAACACAAAACAAACTGGTTCAAAACCAACAAAGTCCATGCTCAATAATCCATGTATACAATCCAACGATTTTCAGTCAGGTCATCTGGACAGTTTCTTTTGTTTGTGCTGAAACGTTTCACCTTCCATCCAGAAGGCTTCATCAGTCAAGGACTCGCACATCACAAAACTGATTCTTCCCCCAACAGCTTACTCCAAAGTGGAACAAACCAGTTATGTTGGTGCTAAGATGGTCTCTTGACTGAAAATTGTTGGATTGTATACCTGGATTATCGAACATGGACTTTGTTGGTTTTGAACCAATTTGACATGACTGTCGATGAGGAAGAGGGCCGGCATCGGAGGAGGGGACGTGCCAAGGACACCATCTTAGCACCAACATAACTGGTTTGTTCCACTTTGGAGTAAGCTGTTTGGGGGAAGAATCAGTTTTCTGTCGTGTGTTTCCTTGACTGATGAAGCCTTTTGGATGGAAGGTGAAACGTTTCAGCACAAATAAAAGAAACTGTCCAGATGACCCGAGTGAAAATTGTTGGACACAAAACAAACGTTTTTTCTCTCACTGCCTAAAGCAACTGGCTCTTTATTGTTGTTTTCATAAAAGAAAAGAGCAGTTTGAACATAGCATTTTTCTAGATGTCTCATCTGCTGCTAATGAATAAAAGCAGGTGGATTAATCCTGTGTGAAACCATTTATTATCCCCAGCCCTTCACATAGAACACAACCTATTAAAACAGGTTACTGAGTAACACAAGGTAAACGTTCTAACTTGACATCTCGCTTGACGTAATGGTTCACTTGACAATGAACAGCTGACTCAGATCGTTCAGCTTGTATGTGTTCAAGTCCAGTTTTTATGATTTTATCCCGACAAAACTCCTTTCGCCAGGATCAAACTCAAGCCGGTGACGTCTTTAACAGCTTCTTTATCAGTAAACTTGGAGGAGCTGATTGGATCACTCAGCTGGACGACCTTGAGGAATGTTCCAGCCTGAGAATCGCATGGCGTGTTCCTCCAAACATTGCATTTGCGACATGTTGTTGTTGCCACACATGACTGATCTCTCAGCAGAGCCCCTACTCATGATGTTTCAAAACGAGCGGCGAATCCGAGCTCAAAAAGTTAAAAATGAATCCAAGCGGCAATTGTAACCCTCCCAAAAGTCAAGGTCCACAGAATAAGGAAACCGTGGACGTCTTTTTCACTCGGTGGTCACGCTGGAGGACTAAACGGACTCCCTTGAAGTTCAGGAAAAAGTCAATTTAGATAAAAGCTCGTGTTTGAGCTCCTTTAGGAGAGCAAAGTGGAGGAAGTGTCTTATTTGTCCGCCTGGCGTCCTACATGGCCGACTCTGGACTCCGTGAGGCTGTAAGAATCGGACAAGAGAACGAAGGTGTTTAGGACGCAGGAGCGTAAAGAAGCTTCATGTCTGATGTTTCGTTACCAGACGTGGAGAAGAGTGCTGTTGCCTCTGTTGCTCCGCTGCCTGGTGGGGTGAGTCCTGGCTGTTTTTGTGTGATTACCTCTGGGTGATGTGCTGATGTCCGTACAGCAATGATTGGAACAAATGACTGGAGCGTAAATGTAGAAAAACTGTAAAACAAATAAGAGAAACCCCGATGAGTAATGACACTTTTATTCAAAATGGTCTACTTTGCTAAATAATCAAATATTTACCAATAACATTTGATATTGCAATTTTAGAACGAGCAGTTTAGACTGAAAAGGTTTTCTGGCTATAAACAAATTCAGAATATCTTTGGCTTCATTTTGTGAGTGACCTAATTTAGGTATTTTCTATGCTGTAGTTTATTTAGCGTTTTGGTGTTAGGAAGCAGGAAGGAAGGATGAAAGCACTCAATTAGTCAAATATGTGATAATGCAGAAATCATACACACTTCACTTTGTACCTCACTAAAACAATCAAAATATCTATTTGAAAGTACTCCTATATAGGGGTTACTCCTATCAAGGTTCTTTGTCATTAGCATCACATGTGGTACATAAGGTGGAACAAAATTATGTACTCAAGGTCCCAGTTACACTCAAAAATTGCAAAAATATCAAGTATTTAAAAAAAAATATATATACAAGGATCTAAGATATACGCTAAACAGTAATAATGTAGTAAAATATGGTGTATGAAACAGCAGCCTGAACATGAGTCTGTTGTGAGCAGATGGGTATGAAGACAGCAGCTTAAAGGCAAGAAATCAGCAGCACATAGTATATAGTACTGTAAAAGTCTATTTTATGATATTTCTTTAGATTTCAGAAGGCATTTAAAAATATTTTTGGACTTTTGATGTTTTTTTTTTTTTTTTTTTTTTTACTTCACTGAGATGGCCATGGAGATCATCTCCACTGAAAATGTAATTTCTACAAATTTGTATTATGCACTACGTTAACTCTACCTATACTTGCTAATCCCTTACCCCAACAGCAAACAAAAACGATTCTCCATGTGTTCTAAAGCTAGGCGCTCCTGCTTATTTTCCGTCCTTTACCTGTTACCGTTACCAGAATGTTGTATTTTTTATAAAACTTATTTAGTAAGCCACTTAACTATGACTCACTCGTGTACAAAGATTCAAAAATGTAAGGACCAATATCCAGTTTAGTTTAAAGTATGACTGGCGAAAGCTATACTAGTAATCTGATAGCTTTGTAACCAACAGCTTGTCTTAAGACAATTTTTGTTTGATACATTTTTAATAACTTATATAAAATACAAAACAGAGCACGTTGTTAAAATTCAAATTTTAGCAAATAACTAGCTAAAGCTCCAGGTAGCTTGTAATTTTATTATTAGCAGCCAGCACAAAGACGGGGGTTGTTTGTTGACACTTGTTGTTTTATTTGTATATTCAGTGCTTAATTTGAGCCGAATCCTGCCGGAACAGGATCTGGGAATTCTTTCGTTTTGACAGAGTGCGTTCTGGCAACTGTTTACTTGGATCCGGTAACTCTCAAACTTACTAATAATAAAGTTATGAACAATTTTGACTGCCTTGAACAAATAAAGCCTATATTGGATATGTAATCTGAAAATAATTATATAAACACTCATTTTAAACATAACAGCCTCACATAAGAGCTGCCCCTTGAAGCATTTCCACTTCTACCTTTAAAAAGTTGTCCGCCCCTAAAAGTACAGACATGGTCAATTTGATTAAAAACAAATATCATTAAACAGTACAACTAAGTTGCACATCAGTTTGACAGTTTAAGTGGGTCATTAATAAAATTTTGATTATGTATTAAGAATACGAGAAAAATGATGGGTAATTGCGTTGCGTACATCACATATCAAAACAACGGTGTCAATTTGTCAAAATAACAGCGATCAAAATGTCGAAAAGACATTGGGGTGGGGTGTTTGAATGCTTGAGAGAAGCATAGCATGCTCTGTTCACACAAGGAGAGAGCTGTTCGTCAGGCTACTTCTTGTTGCTCTAAAATAGTTATTGAATCAAGTGTTTACAAATGTAGATAAAAGTAGATTTTTAACAACCTGTTAAAATACACCAGAATGCAGGAAATTGCATCTACTTTATTCAAAAATTTCTAGGGGAGGACGCCCAGACCCCACCCCCCTCACTATTTGCATTCCAGCAGGTTCACAAATTAAACACTGTGTATATTTATAGTACTGTAAAAGTAAAGTATACAAAATATTACACAGTTTGAAGCACCTGAAATAGATTTTTTTTTTTTTAGCACCAAGGTGATTCCCAAAGTGTTATTAGTTTAAAACTTGTCAAATATATACAGTATAGCTAACTGAAGGGTGTTGCTACTCTTCTCTTGTATTAAGTTTTTGGTGAATTTATTTTCTATTTCTAAACATGACTTCATACATTAATTTGTTTAGACGTTCGATGGCTGTAGGTATGTTTTTAGGCTTGACACTTCTTTTTTTTGTTCATCTCCAGGATTTTTTTGTGCATTTTATTAAGTCTTTTAAAAACAAAAAATGACATCATTGACCACTTTAAAAAATATAAAATGATTTGACTGTTTGGAAACAAAAAAAGAGAACGAAAATGAGGGTGGTTGAATTTTTTTTTTACTCAGTACTGTAGTAAAGGTGATGTAGTGTAACTCTGAAGATCATCTGTACCAAATTTAATAAAAGTTGGAATATGAAAAATTTCTGCTGATATATATATATATATATATATATATATATATATATATATATAGATATATATAAATGTATTTTTATTTTTTAAATTTAAAAAAAAAAATTTTCTTCCCATTATTATAAAAAAAATAAACATTATAGTACATACCACAGGTGCTTTAAATTCTGCTTCTTCTAAAGAATCTAGCTTGGCATGTTGCTCAAAAGTCACGTGGTAGGCAGTTTCGGCTCGGAGTCATTGGTTGTACAACTGTTTGAGGAAAAACTTGACTAGTGAAATACAAAACCAAAAAAAAAAAAAAACAAGTAGGTTTTGCAGGATTCTTCTCAAGCAGAAGAACCGAAAAACAACCCAAAGTGGAAACAAAAATAAATGTCACTCAGAGGTAATATGAATTATTAACGTGTTTGTTTC